GGGGGGGGGTGAAACATCACAATATTGACCCAGCTAAAAATTAAATTGCTAAAAATTCATGTAAAATGCACCATGATGCCTATGAAGTGATAAATAAAGATGAAGGGTGCACATACCATGTCCATTGTCGAAAAACTCTGTGACGTGCAAAGCACTGCAGGGAGACCAAGGCAAGGTCTTACTGAGCTGAGTGAATACATTTTTGACTTAAAAAAGTATCCAATTTAACATGTTTATAATAGAAGACATGAATTCAAGTCACTGTACATATGAAATGCTTTATATATATATATATATCAAAGCACTGCAGGGAGACCAAGGCAAGGTCTTACTGAGCTGAGTGAATACAGGGGCCATGATATGGTGCTCGCCTAGATGTCCAAACAGCTGCTCACAGTTCTTAGTGTCATCATGAGGCATACTCAAAACATGGCCTAAATCAGGAACAAAATCATATTACCGATGGTCAAATCAACTTGAAAATTGCTTAGGGTGAGATTATCAGAGAACATCCAGACCTAGCTCGTGTGCAGTCGTGTAAGCAGCCTGAAGGCCGTTGTCTTCAATAACCGAACAGCTCCTTTTGGTGTCACACATGGTTCCAACATCAGCTACACCCAGCGTGTCACAGCTCTGATGTCCACAGATGTCCTGAAAGGCAGTTTAGGATACAAAAAAATGTCACTCTTATTGCTGTTCCAGGTCTGTGGTTAATAGTAAGAGCAAAAACATATTTGCCAGTGTTTCCATCATAAAACCAAGCAAATAAATAGTTTTGGCAGGCGGCAGACCTATGAAGTGAGAAAATGTAAATATGTGGCGTCTGAACTGTATCTCAAAAACATGCCTGGAGTCTTTTCCATCCTTTGCCCAGAGATCCGAGACGGAGACAAATGTTTCCAAAGCAAAAGACCACAAAACACACATAATTCAAGGCACATCTGGCCTTGGCACAGTCCGAGAGTCAGTCTCACATGTGTTCACCTTTCAGAGAAGCTGCTGTCTGTAGTCAGTCTGCTCCTATTTTCAGCCTCGTTTTCAATATGCCATAATGTCTGCTCTAGTAATGAGCAATGCGGCAGTCACTTTTCAAAAGGTCAAGTTTTGAACCTGGCCACATGCACACTTTTTAATGGTACAGCCAAACAACTCATTGTAAATAAGAAGTGTGCTTAATTTTATGGAAGGTGCACTTGCAGTGTACTTTAAGTTTTGTAAGTGAATTTAAAAAACGGATAATATAACATTAGTGAAATAAAAGGCCACTTAAGAGTACTTAAAGAGAGTAGACTTTCATGTTTCTTAACAGTGTTGGGGAGTAAACTAGTTACATGTAACGACATTACATAATTTAATTACAAAATAAATGTAACTGTAATCTGTTACAGTTACTGAGAAAAATGTTAACAATTACAAAGAGGGTTACATCTGAATATTTTCTACAAAATGCTAGGATATGCTGAATAAATATTAATGTGTTGCATTGCATGTTTTTGATGTTCCAGTGCTTTAACAAATTAAATTAAATTATTGTAATCTTAATTCAAGTGGTGAAGGATTTTGAAATACAGTGGTTGAGTACTATAAGGCTAACCCTGCCTGATTTAAATGTTTGAAAATGATTAACAGTTAAAAACATTCATTAGAAAATAATCAAATGTAATCAGTTACATTACATTAATAAAGTAATTAAATTTTAAATAGGGTAACGTATAACTATTATACTTTTCCCAAATATCCTTCCCAACACCCAACTTAATACACTTAAGTACACTTAAAAAGTGCACTTTGTAATAATTTTATTATTACAAATGTTTGTAATTGTATTCATTTGTAATAATTATAAATCATTATGTTTTAATAATTGTTGTCAACAAACTAAAACACATTGGAAAAAAAACTGATTATATTATATTATTTTAACTGTAGTGTTATTTGATATTACATTTAAGGTTAATACATTTTAAATGCACTAAATTGCAACTACATCATTGCAAATGTGTAATTACAAATATATTTAAATACATGACATAGACGTTTCAATAGAAATGACATTAAAGTATGTTTAATTTACCATAAATGCTTGTCATTACATTTGGCAGTACATTTTAACCAGTATTTTTATTTTATTTTTTACAAGGGACGACTGTTCTAAATTCAGCTAATGGCAAGACTCTCACTTCATCATGATCCCATAAATAGATGTCACCTGACTCTGAAATACATAATAAATCACTGCTTACCTCTCTAGTAAAAAGTATGGCTGTATCGAAGTGCTCCGGATGCCTGTGGCTGGGTGGGTTGAAGAGCTGTTGCCAGGCACAAAAGTTGCGCAAAGCGACGCCTCCATTGCTGGAGATGGACGGCCCAACCTCTTCGTCCTCCACGATCAGCATCTTCACAAGCACTATGTTGATGGAGTTCTTAACGCTGGGATGCTTGAAAATCTGAGCAGCCACTGACATCAAGGTCAGCGTGTAGTGCTAAAGACAGAAAACCAACAGCTCGCTATTCGCCAACTGTGCTGCAGAATGTTAAGTGTAAAAGCATGACATCTTGGATCAGCTCAGAACTGCTGATAAGGAACGGCTTTTACTCTACAGGCTCTACAGTTATTGTGGACAGTAATATCTCAAGCTTTTTACTGCATTAGACAATGCATGGTAAAAAAAAAATCATTTCAGTATAATAATCACCTGCATTGATTACCCATATTTACTGTAGTATATAATCTACATATTCCATTCAATAGTCTTTAAATGGGAATCATTTTTAGCTGATACAGCCAAAGACCAGAGATTCTTCTAGAGTTTTTTTTTTCTGCCGACTCTACACAAATATGTGGTTTGTTTGTCGGAAAGCCCTGACGTCAACATTAGGAGCAGCTGGTGGTCCACGCTGACATGGGTTGCTTTATGAGGCATTGTGTTTCCATCTGCAAATTTGGACATTTGGATCCCAGTATCAACATCTGGATTGCTATCTGCCTCATGACCCCGACCCGGACAGCGCATTTTTTCGCACTCAAGTCTTTTCCAATCATTTGTTTTCGATGACTCGATGAAGGAGAATTTCAGGGGGTGGTGGATCGTATGTGGGTGTGAAGATCAGTACAGTACAATTCATATAATCGTGACTCGCTCTTCTCACACAACTGCAGTCTATGGTATGTACATTTTGATAGGACCCTCAAGGTAGATCTTACTGTAAAAAGCTGTATCCTTCTTTCGAATTTTGAATAAGTATTTGGCTTAAAAGTGCGGGGTGTAGCCTATAATTCGTATTTATAAACCTAAGATGGTTTGCACGTCTCAACTGGTCTCCAAGCATAGTCAGCTTGATCATGCTGGGAGACCATCTTAAACTATACACTGTAAGAAACTGACTGTGAAATTCACAGTAATTAACTGGCAGCAAGTGACAAGTAATTTACTGTAGAAAAGAACTACAGTAATTAACTGGTAGCAAGTGACAAGTAACTTACTGTAGAAAAGAACTACAGTAATTAACTGGCAGCTAGTGACAATTAACTTACTGTAGAAGAAATAACCATATTTTCGCTGTTTTCATTTACAGTAGCAACCATGTAACTGTAAAGTAAAACTCCCTAATTTTCAAGTGCAACTTTTTTTTGTTGTTGTTGTGCTTATTACACAGGACAGTGTAGCGATTGGTGGGGAATGTGATCGACAAAGGACCTTAAGCCAGGAATCGAACACAAGTCGCCAGAGACACAGTTGCACTACATGTCAGTGCGCTAACCACTGGACTATCGGTACCGACAGGTTCCATTGCTGTTTAGTTATATTGGTTCAGCCCAAATAAAAATAAATAAATAAATAAATGAATATGAAATAAATAATGCATGTTGCACGATTACAATATAAATATTCATTTATCAACAGTCACAGTTAACTGCTCATCATTATAACAAGCTTCATTTATCATTCTTCACTTATTGCTAGATGTGTTGAAAACAGTAAAATCTTGATGACCTTCTGGTCATTTTTTTAATTTATTTTTTTATTAAAGAATACATTTGCTTCCTGTATTCTCTATTCAAACCTAAAATGTAATTGAATTACAGTGAGGTCAAATCAAATGCAGTCATTCTGTGATTTTCTTCAGTACATAATAAGTTATTGTGTTTTCTACAATACATTGGAAGTTACTGTGATTTTCTGCAAGACATTGCTGGTTACTGTGACACTCACAGTACTTCTTAGATTACTGCACTTTTGGCTGAAACTACGGTATTCTACTGTGAACTAGTATACAGTAATTTCCTGTGCACAAACACAGTAAATTCCTGTAGATTTCACATGAATTTTTTACAGTGTAGCTAAGACAAGCAAACAATTGCAAGTCAAAAAATCTTAGACCAGAAAGCTACCAGTCAGTCATGTAATCTTAACATGGTCAGGCTGGTTTTTAGAAGATGGCAGCTGGTCAAGATCGCCAGCTTGGATCATCTTGCACAGCTTAGACCAGAAACCAGCTATCATGTTCTGAAACAGCTTCAGTTAGATTTTTCATCTGTCAAAAGTGGTCAAATGAAACACATCTTCAAATGCACACTTGTGAGCCCCTACCTTGATCTCGTCTCCATAGAAATGTGTCAGAGAAGCGTCACCGACCACCAAAGTCTCAATAAACCTGGGAGTAGAGACAAAGCGCCTGCGTCTAGACATCGAATCCTGATCATCATCTCTTATATCTGACAGCGGTTTAGAGACCTGCGGAGACTTTGTAAAACGTCTTCTTTTAATGACATGCAGCTGCTCGGTTAACTTTCCAGATGTTCTCAAGCCGAGAAGTTTTGGTTCGATTAGATATTCTTTACCGTCTGTGATAAATGATCCTAAAATCCCATGACATAAACTGACAGAGACGATAGAGTCCTCATCGGAGTCAACAGCGCCGGTGTAAAAGCAACCTTTTAATAATTCTGCTCCAGTCTCTTCAGTTTGATTCAAGGACTTATAAAGTTCTGTCAGCTTGCCAGTGGACTCAAGTCTTTCTTGTGGTTTGGCTTTGATGCGATAAACCTTCAGTGCTGGCGATATAAAGGTGCTGTCCGGTGTCAAATTAAGTGTGAAATTCCTGCCGAAAGCCGTGAGACTAAAACTGGGCTGTTCTTCGCTCCTCTTGGCCACTCGTCCTGCGGTCCTTCCAGTCAGCCTTACAGGTACAATCTCCTCAGTCTCAAATGAGTGAGCAGATGTTTCAGCGAGGAGGCAAACAATTAATATAGATGTGACTAAACACGACCACATTTTATTAAATTGTCGCTATTCCAAAAAAGAAATAATGAATGTCTAAATGATTAATTTTTTAATTTACTAGGCTATTTAAATTTATAATTTTAAACTGGTCTTACTTTTCTGAAAACCATTAATATCATAAACATTTATAGTTAGAATCCACATGCCTTCACTAGCTTAATTTTGAAAATGAATAAAATAGGCTATTTAATGCAACCTATATATGCAATTGAATTAAAGCTAAAACGGAGCCAAGTTCGCGAGCTCGTAAGTCCACCGGACTGTTTCTGGACTGAGGCGCTGGTATTTATACTTTCTGAGAAATGAGAGGTTTATTTTTGATATCCAGCGCTGCTCCAGTCTCTCCTCCCACTGTGCGCTCATGAAAAACCTCTGGATCGGGTTTGCCCAATGAAAACTGAGAAGGACAGCCCTTCCTAAATAGCAACAGTTTGTCAACTGAGTAGTTATTAATAGTGCATTTTTAGTTTTAAAGTAACGTTTTAAAAAAATATGTTCCTGCAAAACGTCAAATATTTTATGATATATTTTATATATATATATAGCTATATAAACTCTGTTGTGCATAAGTATGTATGATTTTTTGTATTAAAAAAACCAAACGAAAAATGTAATTACTTATTAAGTTTAATGAAGTATCACCATTGTGCTGTTGAGCAATCTGGAAAGTGCCTTGTTCAAGGGGGACTATAAATCCTAGTAGCTTTTATTCAAATTGGAAAAAAAGCGTCAGCTACATTATTTACTATTTTACAATGCTATAGCTGTATAGCATATACGGAGCGAGGCAACATAATGTTCAATCTCCACAAGGTGGCAGTAAGACATTGTATATGAATGTGCACACAAGAACACGTTCTCTTCATTCATGTTTTCGTTCTGATTCTTACAGTCTTAAGCAGTTTATGGATATTCTCTGGCTCAGACACCAGAGGGCGACGATGATTTAGATGAGGTAGAAATAAGTTGAAAGACTACACTACTTGAACCTAAATATGTAGAGTTTACATCAAAATTGTTTAAAAATGTATACTATAAGATAAACTGTATTATTGTAGGCCTATGACTATTCCTCAACATTCCTAATGTATATAGTAGAATTAATATTTTGTTACATTAGCTGTAGAATGTAAAGTTACAATAAAACATTTTCACTCAATTATACATTTGTTGGCAGTGAACTCCACCAAGAAGATTATAGTAAACAATCTTTTCTTGAGCATTTATGATTATGACAACAACTAATCTAAATAATCTGTATGGTTCACAACCAGTCTGTACTCTGTATGCCTATCGATTGAGAGTGAAAAGAAAAAATGCACAAAAACAAGATATCCACTGGTTTATAGCACATAGTGAACTTCCATTCTCTATAACCCCAGAAGCAATGTTATACAGAATATGACATTTAGGTCAGCAATGATGGTCACAAATATAAAGAGAGGTCCTGATGTGCATTCGAAAAACAGCAAACCGATGGAGCTATTCCAATATCCAGACAGGCTAGTCCATAGTATCTCTATATCAAATGTGACGTGTTTCACTGTGGGCAAGGGCAAAGAAGCTGCAGTGTTCCCAGATGTGAATCATCTGGCAGTTCATGCAACAATTCACAGTAGGTGTCATCGTGGTCAGTCATCTACTGTTTGTGTTGCTTCCAAAGAGTTGTCAAGGCCCTGCCATGACCACATGTGTGGAACTCAGCTGATAAGAGGGGGTTGGGGTAAATATGAAGGACTTGCTAAGCTATAGCATCCAGCAGTACACAAACTTGCAGAGCCTAGTTTGCAAATAATGAAATCAATCAATGTTTAACCTGATTTATATGGATTCTGGTAACAAAGCATCACTCAAGGGAATACATGATGGTTAAAAAAAGGTAAAGACTGTACATGCTCAGGTACATATTTTTGAATATCATATTTACACTATTACACTACATATCTCACTATTCAATAGGTTGCATTTGTTTGGAGGTGTATTGATGACATAAATTTAGATTTTTCTTACTGTCAAATGGCAGTAAAAATAGATGCAACTTTATTTATTAAAAAATGTAGGCTAATTTATTCAATCGTTATTTACCAATGCAATATTATATCTGTTAAAGCAGCTATAGGAAATATGTTTTGCCCATAGTTTTAAATGTTTAGTGCAATTATTGACAATAACTGACAATGCATCTTTATGATAATCTCTGTGTGATGTTTGTGAATATTTTTGAGTGGTGACTCTTAAAGGAATTGTTCACCTTCAGTTGCTGGTCCCCACTGACCCCATTGGGGAAAAAACACTATGCAAGTCAATGGGGACCAACTGAAGGTGAACTATCCCTTTTTAGGGATGAATACTTTCGAAAGTTCAAAATGTCTAAAACAAATTTCTTGGTTATGTGAATGTTAAAGACAATGTTAAGGGAAACTTTCCATTTTATTATTTTGCAAACATTATGGGAATGTTTGAAATATTCTCTTAACAATCTTAGGCAAACATCCAACTAAAATGTTGCAGAAAAAAAAAAGTTCCATAAATGATTTGAGATGGTTATGAAAGATCAGATAACTTTGAATGTTCTATTGTCTCATGAACTAAAATCAAAATTATTAGGATTATGTGTTTGATGCTTTTACCTCCTCTCATTAATACCAGATAAAACTGTTTTAAACTGGCACTGATTGTATTAAACAAACATGAATTTGGTTTTATAGAACATTTGATGAAAATTGTTATAATTTGATTATATTTTGTAAAAAAGAAAACTATTTAATTATTATTATTATTATTATTAAGACCCCCCCCCCCAATTATTCCACACCTCTACAAATGACAAGTCTTAGTATGGAGTGGGAGGTTACCTCTGAAGCGCGGCTGGCTTGATGCTCATATTTAGAGAGCCAGAAGTGTCTGCAGTGTTCAGCATGAACCATGAGCTCTCATCTGAACTTCCCAAAAACTCTTATTACAATCTGCAATGTTTACATATGACGCAAAAGAATAAAAAAGAGAGAGCTGGTTTCACAGAGAGAAACACCAGGGCGATGGATGGGGACTGTGTGTACGGAACCGTGATCAACAGCATCACGGTGTGAATTACACTCTGAAGGATATCTAATCACCGCCAACAACGATGTCGGTTTTTCCCGTAGTTTTGTTTCGTCTCTTGCACATGCTGTTTTTAACGAAAATATACCTCTGTATGGAAACTGATTTTTGTGAACCTGTTCGAATTGACCGTGAAAATTTCCCAAGTCATGACAAACTGAACAAAGACCTTGTTGTTTACAGAATAAACGCTTTTAATCAGGAATTGTATCTTAATCTTCTGCCTGATTCGAGTTTTCTGGCTCCTGGTGGCACGTTTCAGTATGACACAATATCTTCAAGTGCTTTTTTAGGAGGTGATTTTAGAAGATGCTTTTACTCCGGTGATATTAATGCAGACAGGAATTCATATGCAGCTCTCAGTCTCTGTGAAGGTGTCCGAGGAGCGTTTTCTTACAACGGGATGGAGTACCTCATAGAGCGCAGGTCGACCAACACAGCACCAGGAATGATCTCAGATGATGCTGAAAAAACGCACATCATCCGCAGGAGAAGACATCTTCACGCACCGAACTCAACATCTAGGTGCGGAGTTACATCCAGTTTAAACCAGGACGTTGTGGAGTCGCTGGAAAAGTATAAACATGTTAAGGGACACACGAGGAACTTAACAGAAACTTTGTTGAAAAGCATGAGCAGATCGAAAAGATTCGCCTCTATACCGAGGTACGTAGAGGTCCTGGTTGTTGCTGATGAGTCCATGGCAAAATTCCACGGCGACGACCTGAAGCATTACCTTTTGACTCTCATGTCTGTCACCGCAAAGCTGTACAAACACCCCAGTATCTTGAACGCCATCAGTATAGTGGTTGTAAAGCTTATGGTGATTAATGAGGCAGAAAAAGGACCCAAAGTATCCAGTAACGCGGCACTAACGCTGCGCAATTTCTGCACCTGGCAGAAGAAGCTGAACAAGATCAACGACAAACACCCAGAGTACTGGGATACTGCTATTTTGTTTACAAAGCAGGTAAGAAATGATGTTCTCATATGGGCCAATGACTGTTCTTGTCAGAAAATAGATTATTTAAAACACACATAGAAGGGTAATTCAATTCAATACATATGATAAACTCTTTTTTGAATTTCTGTATATTAATGTTTTAATTTTGTGAGGATTAAGGTAAAAATGCCTGGTGCTGTGGTTGTAGATCTGTAGATTTCAATCAAATAAGTAAATAAATAAATAAATAAAACAAGAGATGAAGCAATTTTCGAATCATACAATTATTTTAAAATTAGTTTTTTTAATAGTCTGGTAAATTAAAGTCTGTGTGGTGTAACCAGGAAGCCATTTTGTTGTTGTCATGTGACAAAAAGTCATTAAACAACAGAGCCCTCCTGACCCTCATGACTGTGGCAAGACAGTTTATATATATATAATTTATATATATTCTTTTTAGAAAAATATAAAATCAAAATATAAATACAGAATTTACATACCACCTTTGAAAAATGTTTGAAAATTGAGAATTTCACACATTTAATCAAGGTAAAGTATTTCTTTGTTTGCACCACTTGACATTTGTCATTTAGGTAATTAAATCAAAATATTTACACAAAGATTTCTCCTTTTAATCATCTCTGACATCACATCTTTCAGCGGTTTTGCCACAATTTAAACACTTTCTATACTAACATGACATGCCATCTGGATAGAACGTAGTAAAACATTTCAGGAAATAAGTCAAGTTTAGGGAGTGTCCCTAAAAGAAAATGTAATTCTCTACCATTTGATTCCAATATAAACTTAAAAGCACCATTACATCACCAGAAAGCTGAAAGCACACGTCATGTGTGTAATACTGACTCAAGAAGAGAAGTGATCCAAGTCAGCTGTCATTACACTGCTAACTATTATGCCAAGGTACCTGCACTGCACCTGCTATTTCAGCCAAATTAACTAATGCCTTTCTATTACAGCAATCCAAACTTCTATTTTGCTGCTTGGTATGTTAAAAATTGAACTGATTACTTCTGTAACTTCTCATAGTCATCAACTGCCCCACTCTTCATATGTGACAGCATGAGAAAGTTGGAACATTCATGTCAAGATGATATTGGAATGTATTAAGCTTTCCCAAATGTTCTCCCTGAAGTCTCCAGGTGGCTGCACTATGATGTTCTCACATGGTTCCATCTGTCCTCTTAACAATGTCGTAACCACAGCTGTTTACAGGCATTCTTGGCCACCCTCGCTGCTCCACACAGCCCTGTGCTTCTCATCATGTCAATACACAATAATAAATAATAATAATACAAGTATTTTGAACTGATTTGGTTCACAAACATACACTTTGGATCAGACCTAATCACTGGGGAAAGCTCAATGAGGAAGCATGGATTATGGAGATGAATTAAACGATTACTACTACCTTGGCTATCATCTTCATACTGCTCCTGAAACACTTGATGCTTGTTATGTCACATTGTGTTTCATCACTGATTTCACACTATAATCATTCTCTTCACAGGACCTGTGTGGGGCCACCACGTGTGACACGCTGGGTATGGCTGATGTAGGCACCATGTGTGATCCTAAGAGGAGCTGCTCAGTGATTGAAGATGATGGTCTCCCCTCAGCCTTCACCACCGCACATGAACTAGGTGAGAGCAAAACAGGTGAACTGAAGGTTCTTGTCTGCGTTCTCTTCCCAGCATTCACTCTGAGACTCTGTCTGTGGTGTAATTAAGTTGAATCCTTTAGGGTGATGGGATTTTGATGAGGCTTCTCACTTCTGAAATTCTATCTTGGATTCCTTGATCTTTGAACATGAATATTGTGCCAGCTGTTTCAAGAAAAAAGTCCCGTCACGCTTTATTATGAAATTAGAACAATGACAACTGCATTCAAGAGTTTTCCACATCTCTTGATCCCTGTGAAAACAAAGGTTTAATAAAAGACAGATGGGAAAACATTAGCAGATGCTAAAAGAACCACATTCACTGGTGCATCAGTGCCATCCTTTTATGGTGTGTACAGACCTATGAAACTCTTTGTACGTTTGAATCTGTTAGCCATCGTACACCTTGCAAATAGACAGACAGACAGACAGACAGACAGACAGACAGATAGATAGATAGATAGATAGATAGATAGATAGATAGATAGATAGATAGATAGATAGATAGATAGACGGACGGACGGACGGATAGACAGATAGATAGATAGATAGAATGATGGATAGATGGATAGATGGATGGATAGATGGATAGACAGACGGGTGGATGCATAGAACAATAGATAGATGGATGGATGGATAGATAGATGGATGGATGGATGGATGGACGGACGGACGGACGGACGGACGGACGGA